TTCTGGAATTTTTGTTTGTCAGAAAAAATATGTGCAGGAAGTTCTGGACAGATTTCAAATGAAGAACTGCAATTCTGTCACTACACCAGTTGACAAAGGTGTAAAGCTCGTGAAAGATCCAGGAGGTAAATCTGTGGACAGCAAACTGTATAAGCAGATTGTTGGAAGTCTGATGTATCTGACAGCAACAAGATCAGATATAATGAATGGTGTAAGTCTGATTAGCAGATATATGGAGCATCCAAAGGAGTTGCACTTGCAGACTGCTAAAAGAATTCTCAGGTATTTATGTGGAACTGCAGATTTTGGACTATTCTATAAGAAGGCTGACCAGACAGATCTCGCAGGCTTTACAGACAGTGATTATGCTGGAGATCTGGATGACAGAAAAAGCACATCTGGGTTTGTTTTTATGTTGGGATCTGGTGCAATTTCATGGTCTTCAAAGAAGCAGCCCATTGTGACTTTGTCCACAACAGAAGCGGAATATGTGGCAGCAACTTCTTGTGCTTGTCAAGTTATTTGGTTGAGAAGAATTATGGAAGAACTTGAGTTGAATCAACATGAGGCCACTTCAATTTATTGTGATAACAGTTCAGCCATCAAACTTTCTAAAAATCCAGTTTTGCATAGGAGAAGCAAGCATATACATGTGAGGTATCATTTCTTGCGCAACTTGGTAGAAGATGGAACAATTGAGTTGATTTATTGCAGAACAGAAGATCAAATGGCTGATATATTCACAAAACCCCTCAAAGTAGCAGTTTTTTCAAAACTGAGAGAGTTACTTGGTATTTGCAACATGTAGAATTCAGTTTGAGGGAGGGTCTGCAGATTCCAGATCTGCATATATGGTGTTATCCATATTTCTTTAAACTAAAATCTGAAGACTTTTAGTTTAAGTGAGGGATTGTTGGAAATTAGATCCTATTATTTAGCCATTATCTCTATATTTTAGGAAGTTTAAGTTATTTATTTGTTTTAAGTTGTTATCATTTAAATTAGATTAGATAAGATTGGTTAGTTATCTTTTTAGATAATATTATCTTGTAAAGCCTATTTAAAGGCTGGATTATTTTCAGTTAATGAGAGATTCAGTTTTTTATTCCATCTTCTTCTTTTCGAAATCCTTGATTTTTTAACAGATTAGTGCTTAATTACTGTCAAAAATTTTAAATTAGCGTAAGTATATCTCTGAGCTCATTGATCTCAAACACCCTAAATTATGTCATTAAGATTAATAATTGCCTCAAGGTAAATATAACCAAGGTTAGATGACTCAATGACCAAAGTCGAAGTCACCTTCCTACAATTGCACGATAGATACAGTGAGATTGTACCCAACTAATCTCCTATTCCAAGATGTTTGTTTTGTTAGTCATGTCGTATCTTGATTATTTTGTCAAGAGGACTACGTGAATACCCTCTTAAAGCCTATAAATACCACCAAAGGCCACCTGCTATGAGTATTTGAAACCGATCTAAAACTTTCTTCTTGCTTCCTTTTGAGTAGACCAAATTATTGTTGATTTAACTATCAAATTGTCTATATCAAGATCCAATCTTGAGACTTTGTAAATCAATCAAACAAGGAGATTCAAACTAGAGAAGGATTGAAGATTTTCTATAATTACAATTAGTGTGCGATAATGTGGCTAGGCCCCTAGGGTTGTTACTGGTTCATAAGTAACTCATGAGTTACTTGAGTTAAATTTGACTTGAGCTAACTTATTTGATAAAGGAGTTAGGATCGATAAAAAAAAATAAAAAAAAAAAAGCTTGAGCTCAAGATTATATAATTATTTGTAAACAACTCACAAGTACTCAATTTAAAATTAGTATA